ATAAAGGGTCTGGTAGCAGGGTGTGAGTGTAACTCTGCCATTGGTCAACAGGAAGGAGCAGGAGGCCCTTGGCAAATGGCTGAGTGTACACATATTGCTTGCAACTGAGGTGTCTAAATAGAGGTACAGGGGCTGGGGATTTAGCTCAGTGGCAAAGCGCCTGCCTGGCAAGCGCAAGGTCGTGAGTTCGGTTCCCGGTACCGGAGAAAAACCAAAAAAAAACAAAAAAAAACAAAAAACTCAAACACGCATATAACTATGTTCAAGTAACACGTGAGCCAAGGATGGCGGTGCACATTGGTAATTCCAGCTTTCAATAGGCTGAGGCAAGAAGATTGCTGTGAGTTCAAGGCCAGCCTGAAACACATAGGGAGACTCTGTCTTAAAAGACCAAATAATAGCAAAATATGAGGTTTTGAGAACTTAGTTTCATGGTGGTTGCTGTTTGACTGGAGATCATTTTTGTGTTGTTAATATTTCTCTGAATTAGTGAAAAAGGTTAGGAATATTAAGAGGTTTTATACAAGTGACATTTCAAAGCAGTTCTTGGGTTTCCATCCATATATAAATACATTAGTATTCAAAGCTGGGCAAAGAAGCAAGAGTTCCTAAGTGGTACAATGGCAGAAATGACTGTGACAAGCCTTGCTTTTCCAGGCTTACCAATACTACATGTTTTGTTCTATGAGAAAGGAGGGAGAGGGGGTAAGCCCGTACCAGGTGCCTCATTCTCTAGTTCAGACTTGGCTTAGAACGTATAACCTTCACACATTTTCTTTCAAGTTTGATGGATCCATTTGTCAAATGTCTCATGAATACAGTACAAGTGACAAAGGAATACAGTGCATTTAGAAATAATAGCATTTCTGTTATAGTTTATTTCTAGATGTCCCCCCAAAGCCTCATGAAGTCATGGGGTGGGCTTCTAGAGTTTTTGATTGATCTGTGCATGGTCCAGTGCTGGGGTTATGGGTGTGAGTGCTACACCGGCCTGGGGGGGTAGTTTGCATATAGTGTAAGGAAGGAAAAGAGGCTGCTGGCTGCCCTCTCCTGCCTTTTGCTCTTGCTGCTCTTGCTGTCTTCTGCTGCCTTGAAGTGTTGCCCTCTGCCATGTGCCAGCCTGCCTTGGAGCCAGCTGATTGTAGTCTGAAACCTACACAAACTGGGTTAAATAAACCTTTCCTTAATTTCAGGCGTCAGGTATTTTGTCTCAGCAACAAGAGAAAAGTAAGACAATTTCAAAATGTCATTCATAGATACACATTTTTTAATAGATATATTTACTTGTGTAATTATAATTGGTTTGTCCAGTGAAATAGAAGACAAAACTCAAGATCTGTTACCAAAATATATGACCAAGATACATCCAAAAAAAACAAGCATCTAATATATGGTGATTCAAAAGTAGGTGAAGTTACTGTGCTGACCAGTATTTCTTGTTCTCATCTCCTGAGCATGTGGGAAGTTTACACTTTCCCATCCCTTTAAATTTATTCATGGATAAAAAGCTTCAACTGATAAAATGTTAGTGAGAAGAGAGGCGTCTCATTTCTCAGCAGAAGCATGTACGCGCTGATGATGATTCTTCGTGCCCTTACCCACCCTGAGGGCTGTGTGTGGGCAGGTGATGTCATAGACGATGGGTCTCGAGTGACCCCAAAACAAAGTCCTTTATGACTCATGTTGGTTTACAGTGTGCGTGAGAAGCATACATTTGATTTTCAAGCTGGTGTGGTTACAGACGGCGCCCTGTGTGTCTCCCAGCCTCTCTCAGCTTCAGTTTGAGTAGCTGGCGCAATGATGCAGCCGCCGGCCATGCATGTAACGAGGGAGCCCCAGAGCTAAGAGCTGGAGCTGAAACAGAATAAAATAAAAGTAGGAAGGTGAAAAGGCAAGAATAAGGGAAATTAAAGGAATATAGTAAAAAGACAGAGAGGACTGCATTGAATTTTACATACTCTATCCAGCAAATTCACCTGTAGGAATTTATTTAGAGGAAATAATTACAGACCTGGGTAGAACTATACTACAAAAAAGTTAGTCCCAGTAATGTTTATATCTTTGAAAAGTTAATGATAGAATAGAGTACTGCATAACCTTTAAAAGTGATGCCTTAGGCCAGAACTTGGCAAACCACAACTAAATCCTGCCTAGCCTAGTTTTTGCATTTTTAAACGCTTGAAAAATTGAAATTACTTGAAGATACATAAAAATACATGAAATTCAGATTTCAGGATCCATAAGAAGTTTTTTGGGAACATAGCCATGCTTTTTTTTTTAAGTACTAGGGATTAAACCCAGGGTCTTCACACTGAGCTACTTCCCCAGCCTTTTTAAAAAATTTTTATTTTTATTTATTTTTTGAGACAGGGGCTTATTAAATTGGCCAGACTGAGCTTGAACTTGCTATCCTCCTGCCTCAGCCTCCCAGAGTTCTGGGATAACATGGATGTGCCACTCTGCCTAACTTGTGGGATAGGTTGAACCATTTTAAATATTTCTTGCTAAAAAGATTTTTAATGAAATCACAGGCTACCATCCTATTGCAAACAAACTTGTTATACCACTTTTTTTTTTTTTTTTTTTTTTTTTTTTTTTTTTGAGACAAGGTCTCCCTATGCAGTTCAGGATGGCCTTGAACTCCCAACGATCCTCCTGCCTCAGCCCCCCCGAGTGCTGGGATTACAGGCATGCACCACCACACCTGGCCGGCCCAAATGGTTGACTTTTTTTTTTTCTTTCAAATTTTTTTGTTTTTTGTTTTTTTTTCCAGTACCGGGAATCGAACTCATGACCTCCCACTTGCCAGGCAGGCGCTGTGCCGCCGAGCTAAATCCCCAGCCCCTTTATACCACTTTTTAAAAGCTAAATAAAATATAACTTTAATACTACCCCATCACTGGGCATGGTGGAGCATGCTTGTAATACCACCACTGGCAGGGGGTAGGGGGCTGAGGCACAAGGATCATGAGTTCAAGGCCAGCCTGGGCTACATAAGCAGGTTCAAGGCCAGCCTGGGCTACATAGTGAGACCCTATCTCAAAAAAAATTAAAATATAGTATGTGTAAGTCCCAAGTGAAATTTAAATCAGAAGTCTAAGGGCCTGGGATATAGCTCAGTGGCACCAGCTCCTGCCTGGCAAGTGCGAAGTCCTGAGCTCAATTCCTGGTACAAAAAAAAAAAGAAAGTCTGATGTTTGCTGCAATTCAAAAAGGTGAAAAAAGTTAGATTTCTTCTTAAATGTTTTTTTGGGGGGCGCTAGGACCGGGAATCAAACTCAAGAACTTGCACTTGCCAGGCAGGCACTTGTGCCTCTGAGCTATATCTCCTGCCCCCCAAAGTTTTAAGGTGAGCATTTTATTTTTGGCTCTTCAGATTGCCACGTAAAACCAACCCATTACGAGTCATGTCAGATCAGCGCTCACGCGTAGCTCCCGCGGTAAATTACCGCTCTGCAGGGACAGCTCGGCCTCCCTGAGCGGGCGCCGGCTGCCTGGGCACGGCTGCCTCCGGAGGGGTGACGGTGGGAAGCCGGGGGACCTCCACGGCTTCAAAGCACGTTTTCTTTTTCCTCCAGGGGCGGAGCTTGCTTTCACTTTAGAATGTTAGGCCTGCCTCTGGAAAGCAGTTTGCAGCACTGGGGCGGAAATGCGGCAGCCTCGCGTGCTTTTCTTGACTAAGTGTACTGGTACATTTTAGGTATGCACAATGATCACATTCATCACAGGGAGTTTGTACCTGTACGTGATATAACTTGATTTTTTCCCATTCCCCTCCCTTCAACCCCTCTTCCATTTTTTCCTTCTTTTCGTGTTTTTTTTTTCTTTATCTTTCCCTTCCGTGCTTTCCCGCTCCGCTTCCTGGTTCCTCCTCCCTTTTGAACATGTTCTTCCTGTTTCAGATGACCTATTGTACGCATTGGTCTCTCTTTCTGGTTTCGGCTTCTCACAGCAGAGAAATAATGCGGCTCGTACACGAGCAGCCCCGCGTTCTTCACGGTCGGAGACGTCCGTGCAGTTCTAAGCCGGCGCCGGGGGCGCTGCTTCGGAGCCCGCTGTCCCTCCGTCGTGCCCCCTGGAGGACCCACGCCAGCTCCCGCCGTCATCTCGCCCCTGGCATGTCAGGGAAGTGGCTGGAAGCCGGTTCCTTGGTGCGTTCTCGGGTTTTAGTTTTTAGACCGCCGGTCGTCCTTGCTTCTGTTGTCTTGTACCACCTTCTTGTCCTGCCACTGAAATCCTGGAAGAGAGAGGCAAATTTATGTGCTTATGCTGCTATCTGAAACTGGAAATTAGTAAAGCACACGCCTAAAAGTTTTCTATATGTATATATACCTTTAAAATTAATTTGAAAATAAAAGCATTTTAGTCACAGTTCCTCATCTGTCACTAGAGGGCTCCAAAGGTTAGCGGTACGGTATAGGGAAAATAATGAGGAATTCGAAATTTTAGAGCATACCTGGAAAATATGTTACTAACTTAAAACTTGTCATTTTGCTGGGAGTGGTGGCGTGCACATGTAATCCCAGCACTCTGGGAGAGCAAGGCTAGAGGATCACAAGTCTGAACCCAGTCTGGGCAATTTAGTAAGACTATGTGTCAAAAATAAAATATAGTCATTTTAGTAGCCACTAAGCTACATCCTCAGTCATTACTGTTATTACTATTACTAGAGACAATCTGGCTAAATTTCCCAGTCTGGGTTTGAACTTGTGATCCTCCTGCCTCAGCCTCCCAAGAGATAGAATTTCAGCCATGTATCAGCTCTGGCTTAGTTTTTATTTACTCTTTGAGTAAGTGTTATATGACAATAGGACAAAATTTTAAAGATACAAAAATTATTCATGCATTGAAAACAAGATCACTTCCTCGGTTTCTTACCCAGGTCCACTCTCAAGAATCAGCCAACTCTTGGTTCCTGCGTATAACCCTACCGGGGATCTCATTCATTCTCTCCCTCCCCTCCCTCTTTCTTTCTCTGACGGTGTATGGTACGTCCCTGCCCAGGGTAGCCCCTTTTATTGCAGGTCTGTGGCTTTTATAGAGAGGAGGGTGACTTAGCCATATCCTGCTACTGGCCACGGCAATCAAAACTTAAAACTCCAGTGATAAAATCAGATATGCATCATCAGTTTTAATGTTTGTGCAAAGCGCCCTGATGTATTAGGGGTTCTAAAGAAGCAGAACCATGAGGAGATAGATGATAGGTAGGTAGATGATAGATAGATAGGTGATGGATGAAATGCACTTTGATGGATTGGCTCATATGCTGAACTGGGCTGATCAGACCTATGATCCGCCATCTGCAAAGCAGTACCAGAAAAGGTCCGAGGAGGAGAGGAGCCAGAGTCTAGAGGCAATGACACAAGCTCCAAGCCCAAGAACCAAGAGCAGTCCAAGTGCAGGAAAAGGTCTCAGCTCTAGGAGAGGGAAGGAATTCACCCCTCCACCTTTTCGTTCTGTTTAGCCCTTTCGGGGCTGGAGGACACCCATCCCCCTGGGGAGGCCAGTGCTGTTATTCAGTCTACCAAATTAAATGCTAATCTCTTGTAGGAACACCCTCCCAGACACACTTGGTGTGTTGTCTGAGCAGCTATCTAGGTATCTGTTAGTCAGTCTGACACATACTATTAATTGTCAAATCATCGCACTTAGACTGGCATGGCATGGCTCACTGCTGTAGGCATATTTGACAAAATCATAAACCACTAACATTCTGAGCAAGGCTTTCCCAGGGTTGCTCGAAACTTCTTCAGGGTTCCAGATTCACTTGCAGACAAAGAGTAACCAGACCTGATGCGTTAACTCTTGCCACCCCAACTGTTTGTGGGGTTTGTTATTACTGTTGTGTGTTAGTTAATGTAAGCTGAGCTGCTAAATCTGAAAGGGTTAAGAACAAAATTTACCCAGGGAGATAGAACTTTCGCAAATGCGAAAGGGACCAAGAGAGGGAGGCAAGGGAGGGAATGAGAAGGGGATAAAAAAGGAATTAGGATGGTTACGAACATGTACCAACTGCCCAAAGTAAATGATTGTTATGTACTTCAAGCATGCACTAATAAAAAAAATTGGGGGCTGGGGATTTAGCTCAGCGGCAAAAGCGCCTGCCTGGCAAGCGCAAGGTCGTGAGTTCAGTTCCTGGTACGGGAGAAAAACCAAAAAAAAAAAAAAATTGGCCAGGCGTGGTGGAGCATTCCTGTAATCCCAGCACTCAGGGGGCTGAGGCAGGAAGATCGTTGCAAGTTTGAGACCAGCCTGGGCTACAAAATGAGCTCAAGGCCAGCCTGAACTGCATAGTGAGACCCTGTCTCAGAAAGATGATAAATAAATAAATAAATAAATAAATAAATAAATAAATAAATAAATAAAATTATAAAGGACCTGGCATGGTGCTGCACACCCATAGTCCCAGCATTCAAGAGGCTGAGGCAGGAGGATCTCTGGGAGTTCGAGGCCAATCTAGGCTACATAGTGAGTTCAGGACCAATCTGAACTACATAGGAAGCCCCTGTCTCAAAAAACAAAAAAGTGTTTTAAAAGAACAAAGTTGAACTCACGTAACAGTTCTAAGGAGAGTCCGTAAGTGGTGAGCAATTCCACTCGCTCAGTGTTTCAGGGACTCCGCCCACTTCAGCACAAGGTGTCTAAGGTTATTCGGCACAGACAGAGAAAGACTGGAGCCCACAGAAGGGAGCTGCCTCTTGAGCAAGGCATGTAGCTTGGTCACATGGCTTCGTCTAGCTGCGAAGGGGCATGGGCTGGGCCACTGGTAAGCCGCACTTCTGTTTTACCAGGGAACAACAGCAAGTGTTGTCTGCGCGTCAATGAGCGAGGCGTCCAGGCGCAGTGCTACTGTGACAGGGACCCAGGGCTGGGCCTGCAGATGCCCAGTGAGTAACTGAAAGCAGGGCAGTAATGCTTGGTATATCTGTCTTCATTTTTGTATTTGTCTCCCTTATTACCATAAAACTCAAGGTCAGATCCCCACTTAGCTCTACATATAAGCAAGATAATCACTCAAAAAGTGACACAAGCATAATTAGCCCTAAATTCACCTCACCTATATTTTCCTCCTTTAAGACTGAGGGCAGCAAGATAAACTGAGTGGATAAAGTAGAAGTACTTATATGCAGTGGAGTACTACTCTACCTTAAAGAAGGAGAAATAGGGCATCTGTAGGAAAATGGGTGCCCCTGGAGACCATGTAAAGCAGAATAAATCAGACATACAGTTCAGCTATCACAGTTTCTATTATATGAGAAACCCAAGTATTAAAAAAAAGAGTAAAATAAAAGATAGATAATAGGAAATAGATCTTTTACATATGGGAAGGGGACCAAGAAATGGAGGAAAGGGAAAAAGGGATAATAAAAAGGAACTAAGTTAAGGCCAGACATAATGGCGCATGCCTGTAATCCCAGCACTCAGGAGGCTGAGGCAGGAGGATTGCTGCAAGTTCAAGGCCAGCCTGGGCTACAAAGAGTTTAAGGCCAGCCTGAACTGCACAGTGAAACCCTGTCTCAAAAAAAAAAAAAAAAAAAAAAAAAAAAAAGACAAAAAGAACTAAGCTGTATTAAGCGCACAGACCAAAGAGGAGAGGAGATTTAGTTCAGTCACTGGCTTCCCCAACGTACAGTTGAAACCCCGTGTAGCAGTGCCTGGAAACTCTCCAGTCATTATCTTAAACCTGTAGCCTCCTTAGATTCCAGGAAAAACATAGCCTCCAGGAAAGTATAGCCTCGAAGCACCCCCCACGATGAGGTTGCCCCTCTAAGTGGGCGCCTTTACCCTGGGATCGGACAGGAGCCGCTCCCTGGAGTGGACCCAGGACTGCCCCCTCAAGCACTGATGGGTCTGGCCAGAATCTTGCGGAACCAGTCTGGAGACAGCAAACCGTCAGCCACCTTCTGACCAGGATGCGCTACCCTGCTGGTTATGCACACCCCCAACCCTTGCCTTTGTTCCTCTTCTCTATAAAACTGCAAGGTTTCTGTCAGCCCCTTGAAGATAAATCTTGAACTCCTTCCTCTGTTTGTGCCCTGATACAGCTATGCTGATTGAAACTCCCTTCCTGCCCTTCACCACTGTTTGTCTTTTCATTTTTTTTAATTAAAAGAGTCTCATTATGTAGCCTGGGCTGGCCCTGAGTTTGTGATCCTGCTGCCTCAGCCTCCCAAGTGGTAGTGCAGCGCTGTACCACAGTGCCCAGCTGCTGTCTCCTTGATGGCTGTCATGGGATGGGTGGCTGGGTCTATTTTGTTGAGAACCCCAGAGCTAAGGCTTTCACCCCCAAACTGGTAATACTGTGACCATTCTACTTGTCCCTGTATTTTAGCTCTGTGTTTTTAAATCACTGGACTTCTAAAGCCTCTGTTCCAGCATTTTTATCCTTGGCCTGTTGCTCTAGCCCTTTCCTGGCGCAGAGTTCGACCTTGCTTCTGAGCTCCGGGCCTTAGCTGCTTTCTGGCGAGGGTTACCCCACCAGTGTGGGCGCCCCCCAGACACTGACAGTCAGGATTTGAATTGCTAGTGCAGCATGGTCTGTCTATAGCTCTATGTCTGAGAGCTGGGGCGGCAGTGGCAACAGGCAGTAAAGATGCAGCGCTCTAAATCAGTGTCCTTGGTTTGCAAACAATCAAAAGTGTGTGGTAGTGCATACAATCAAAGGAAAAGGTAAAGAATGAGACCCTGGAGGCTGGGTGTGAGGCACAGACCTGTAACCCCAGCCCTGGGGAGGTCTCTCTGTCTCTCTGTCTCTCTGTCTCTCTGTCTCTCTCTCTCTCATACACACACACACACACACACACACACACACACACGCACACACAGGCCCTGGAAAGGACCAGGACCAGGGCCATTTGGGGTCTGCAGCCTTCCTTGATTTTCTTCTACCAGGATTAATACACTTCAGTGTTTCTGCTTGGGACACAGGCACAGCTGTGACGGAAAGTTTGACAGGGCTGTGTGCAATGGGTCTGCCGCTACCCACAGGAAAACTGGAGTGAGGGCGCTGCGCAGGTACCCAGGTTCAGGGGCTTATATATAAGTGTGAGTGGGCTGTTTTGGTGGGGACCAGAAGATAAAACAATGAAAGGATGTGGTTCCCGTTTTCAGCTAGGCCTCTCATCCTGGGGGGAGCAGACTTCCCCTGCTCCCCTGCCCTCCAGCTTTCCATGCCACTGAGCCTCTCTGTGGGGCACAGAATGAAAGACTACTGGGAGAGGAGATTTAGTTCAGTCACTGGGAGCGAGGGTGCCCAGCGTTAGGGAGACTCCCAGGAGCAGCACCAAAGCTGAGAACTCGCTGGCTTTTATTCAGAATATCAGTGTAAGAGAGGGGAAAGAAAAAGAAGGAGAAAGGGAAGGAGGGGGGGAGGAAGAGGGGAGGAACCGGAGGGGGGAGGGTAGAGCTGGAGAAGGGGGAGGGGAAGGGAGGGGAGGGGAGGGGAGAGGGAGGAGGGGAGAAGAAGCTGCCTCAAGACGAGGCAGTTTTCTTGTGGGAAGGAGGACAACGACCAGACACAAGATGCCTAACTAGTCCAACTTCTTGTTGAACCATTCACTCCTCACAGAGGCTGTGCTTTCGTCTGCAGTTTAACCTTTCCCTCCTGGGCCAAGTCCCGAAAAGCTCTCTCCCCTGGTGCTCTAATTTTCCCAGGGTTTAGCTCCCTTTCCTCAGGTACCTATCCTAGCTGCCTATTGTTCCTCTATCTCCTACAATGATCACTTTCCTTGTGGGGAGTTGGTAGGTATACAGAATACACAATAGTTCTTTTTTCATCCCCTTTCCTTCCTGTATCTCCCCTTCCCTCGGCTCATGGTCCCCTTCCCTACGCAAAAGATCTATGTCCTATTATCTTTTATTTTGCTCTGTATATTTTGGAATTCTCATGTAGGATATCCATGGAATATCTAAGCCTATGTGTCTGATTTATTTCACTTAACATTATGTTCTCAAGGCACATCCATTTTCCTGCAAATGACTCCAATTTTTCCTTCTTTATAGCAGAGTAGTGCTCCATTGTGAATAAATACCATGTTTTCTTTGTTGATAGACATAGGCTGCTTCCAAGAATTAGCTGTTTTGGATTTTGTTACTATAAATATGGATAACTACGCATCACTGTCATGTAATGTATTTAATTCTTTCAGGAAGATACCTAGGAGACTAGCTGGGTTAAATAGAATTCCTGTTTTTAGTTTCTTGAGGATCTCCATAATGATTTTCATAGTAACTGTACCTGTTTACATTCCCACTGACAATGTAGAAGGGTTCTTTCCTCCCCAAGTTCCCACCAGCGTCTGTTATTGTGAGATTTCTTGATGAGAGCAATCCTTCCTGGAGCAATAAAATGGACTCTCGGTACTGTTTTAATTTGCATCTGTCTAAGGCCTGGAGATGCTGAACATTTTTAAATGTATTTACTGGCCATTTATACTTCTTCTGGGAAGTGTCTGTTAATTTCTGTTGCCCATTTTTTGATTGTGTCTTTTATTTTGGGGGTGTCTATTTTTTCTGATTTCTTTATATATTTTAAATATTAGTTCTCTGAGATGTCGCTGGCAAAAAATGTTTCCCACTCTGTAGGTTCTCTTCACTGTTGGTTGTTTCCTTTGCTATGCAGGAGCTTTTTAACTTGATATTATCCCATTTGTTGATATTATTTCTTGTGCAACTGGGGTTCTATTCAGAAAGTCCTTGCCTATGCCTATATATTCAAGAGTTTTGCCTATTTTATGTTCCAGCAGATGAAGTGTTTTTGTCCTAACATTTAGATCTTTGATCCATTTGATTTTAGTTTAGTACATAGTGAGATATATGAGTCTAGATTCAGTCTTTCGTAAGTGAAGATGCAGTTTTCTCAGCATTATTTACAGTATTAAAGAGGTTATCTTTCCTCCAACGTATGTTTTTGGCCCCTTTGTCAAAGATCACCTAGCTGAATGCCCCTGGAGTTGTTTCTACACTTTGTTCCATTCCACTGATCCACATGTCTATTTTTCTCCCAGTTCCACGCTGTTTTTATCACTGTAGTTTATAGTATAACTTGATGTCTGGGATTGTGATGCTTCCTGCTTTGCTCTTCCCAGTACTGCTTTCTTTCACAATTTACCTTTAACTAATCTCTCCCCAAATGTAAGATTTACTGAGGTATCTACCCATGGGCATCCAGGCACCCTCCCCCATATCATTTAGTCAAGGTCCAAATCCTATCATAACATTCTCCTAATACTCCATTACTGAGACCTCCCATGGTTCCCTCTGGTGTATATTCCTTCTTGCTGCAAAGAATAGTAAACAAAATTATCTTTTTTTTGGTTTTTTGAGACAGGGCCTCACTATGCAGTTCAAACTGGTCTTGAGCTTACTATGTAGCCCAGGCTGGTCTCGAACTCGCAGCGATCCTCCTGCCTCAGCCTCCCGAGTGCTGGGATTACAGGTGTGTGCCACCACACCTGGCTAACAAAATTATCAACTAGTGATGTGTTCTTGGTCGTAAGTCTTTGACAGAACTAAAAAATATGAATCAATGACAACGTATACATTTTATTTTTATCTGGATTGGAACAAATAGGTATTAAGAAATTTGAACACTGGAAATTTGATATTAAGCAATAAATTTTAAATGACTGGTCATTTTTAATTTTTTTACCAATGTATTTAGATAGGGATAGATTAAATGATCTGATATCTGAGATTTGCAAAATGCCATTGTTAATTTTAAAATTGGTTGATAGAAAGGTAATTATTCTTTTTTTTTTTCTTTTAGAGACAGGGTCTTGCTATGCAGTTCAGGCTGGCATTGAGCTCAGTTTGTAAGCCCAGCCTGGTCACGAACTCATAATGATCCTCCTGCTTCAGCCTCTCAAGTGCTGGAATTACAGGCATGCACCACCACATCCGGCCCAGGCTGGTTTTGAACTCACTTTGTAGCCCAAGCTGGCCTGGAACTCACAACAATCCTCCTGCCTCAGCCTCCTGAGTGCTGGGATTACAGGCGTGTGCCACCATGCCCGGCTAATTATTCTATTCTTGAATATGTCTAAAAATTATTTCCAATATTCTTTTAGGAGAGAGATACAAGATCAAAGAAAAAGCCATGTAATATTTTAGGCATTACCCAAGATATTCCCTTCCATGACCTGTGGATTAGGGTGTCAAGTGGAAAGTACATATGCCTGTCTCAGACAGCTCAGCGTCTGAATTAATAAAACTGGATGCAGAGTCCAAATCGGCCGGATGGAACAATTCACGGCTCCTCTGATGTCTCACTAGCTTCTTAGTTCCCTTTCCACCTTCTCTCTCCTTCCCTTAAGCCTGGGCACACTGGCAATATGGAGGTGGGCCAAGGCGGAAAAGAGGTCAGCGCTCCCTTCCAGGCTGTGCGCAGGCGCGGAGCCGCGCAGGCGCACTGCTGCTTCCCTCCCCCCACCCGACCTCGGCGGATCGCGCCTGCGCAGCGGGGCGAGCTCGCGCCGCGGCTGTGGGCTGGCTGCAGTCTCGGCGTGACGGCGGCGGCGGCGGCTGTCTCGGTTAAGATGAGGCTTGTGCTGCTGCTTCTGGTGGCGGCGTCGGCAGTGGTCCGCAGCGAGGCCTCGGCCGATCTGGGCGGCGTGCCCAGCAAGAGACTGAAGATGCAGTACGCCACGGGGCCGCTGCTCAAGTTCCAGATCTGGTGAGTGGGCGCCGAGCGGGCCCGTGCGGCGCCCCTGAGCGAGCCGGGCTGCGCGGCCCGGGCCCTCCCGGAGAGCG